GTGAGACTGGCTCAGGACAGGAAAGGGTTCAGAGTTGCTATACATTGGGTTGTTATGGGTCACAGGCAACTCAACAGCACATAACGACAACATTCTTCTGACATTCTTTGCTTTCAGCCAGGATCCATCTGACATCAGCAATAATATCCGTGGTAGCATGGTCTCTTCTTTTTTTTTTTCACTTTATTATTTTTGTGTGCGTGTACCGTCAAATCAGATCTGACTGGTACAGGAGGAGATTGCCCCTCCTTCCCCGGCAGAGCATCTGGTGGATTCGAACCGTGCACCTCTGGGATTGTAGTTGCACCTTCTTGCCACTAGGCCACCAGAGCTCCCCAGCATGGTCTCTTCTAAACTCTGCTTGAACGTTTGGTAATTTTTTGTTAATGTATTGTTCTAGCCATTTCTAAACACGTTGCTGCAAATGACGGCAAATGTGTTTCTAAGCATGGTCATCAATTTTAAAAGTGTGTGGCAACGTGTTAATGACCTTTAGTTATACTTTGCTTGCATATGATATTAATGATATTGCTCAATAATTTTCACATTCTGTTGGATCACCTTTCATGAGAATGTAGACAAATAGAAATCTCTTCCAGCCAGCCAACCAAGTAGCTGTCCTCCAAATTTCCTGGCATAAAATGTAAGCACATCCAGGGAAGCATCTATTAGTTGAAACACATCAATTGATATCTCCTTGTTTTGGGGACCTTATTTTTCACCAATGCCTTCAGTGCAGCTTGAAATTCTTTCACTATCTTTGGCTTTTGTTCATATGGTACTTCCTGAATTTTTTCAGTGTCAACCAGTTCTTTTTGGTATAGTGACTGTGTTGTATTCCTTCCATCTTCTTTTGATGCTTCCTGGATCATTTAAGATTTTGCCCATAGCATCTCTCAATATTGCAACTCTAAGCTTATATTTATTTTTCAGTTCTTACTTTGTCTTCTCAAGCTGCTCTTTGAAATCTTCTGTTCATCTATTTCTGTTTCTCCTTTGTTTAGGCTTCCTGATCCTATTGTGTAGTTTTCAGTCTCTCCTGTCATCTATTTTGGTGTTCTCCTCCATTTTTGTAATGACCTTTTGATCTCCATCTGTCTTGACTTTCTGCATAAACCCCACGCCGCCCAATCCCACCCTTACCCCTTGTGTAGAGAATTTTCCCAGCACAGGGACCTGGATCAGAAGAACATGATCCACTCCTGGTCTTCTTTCTTGATGGTAACAGAGATTTTCCCTTAGCTACTAGTTTTTCTCACAAGAAATAAAAGGTGTTCCAGGGGAACTCCTCTTACATTGGCTCAGGACTATGAAGGGACTAAGGGTGATACATTCCATGTTTAGAGATCTCTGGTGGCCTAGTTAGTAGGGAGTTGATCCAAAGGTGGCAAGTCACTGCCATGTAATGAGTGGAAACTGACTCTACATTGGGTTTCTGAGGCTGGAAGTCACACAGGAGGAGGCTGTCCATCATTCTCCCACAGAGCTGGATTCCAACCACCACAGAGGTCTGTTTTTCAGGTTTAGCAGTGCAACTCCCTATAGACTAGGCCACCAAAGCTCCCAATTACATCATTACATACACATATTTTGTTGTTAGTAGGTGCTGTCCAGGTCACTGTGACTAATAGTGTCCCTACGTACAAGAGATCTGAAACTTGCCCTATCCTGCACTGTCTTCACGATCTCTGTCATGTTCAAGTCCATTGTGGGGACACAATTCAATCCAAGACACAGCAGATTCAGGTTCAGATTTGATTGTCAACTTTGCTACTATAATCAAAACCCATAGCCATTAAATAAATTCTGATTTAGAACAGCCTGGTAGGTCAGAACAGAAGAGTAAAACAGCCCTGTTCCCCTGCTAACTGAAAGGCCACATCTTTCAGGAAGTTCGAATCTACTGTTTAGGAGCAAGATGGGCAATCTCTCCCTACATGATTTACGACTTTGGAAACCCAATGGAGGGAGGGTCAGCTATTTGTCAGTTCTGACTTGACAGCAATAAGAGGGATTCTTGGTTTTAAACTTTACAGAAGCAGACTGCCTCATAATAGGTAAAGAGTTATACTGCCAACTCAAATGTAGGCAGTTCAAACCCACCAACTGTTCCAAGGGAGGAAGATAGGCAATCTCCTCCCGTGTCTCTGAAAATCTGCTGGAAGGTCAGATACGGGTTGCTTCCCACTCAACGGCCATGAGTTTGAAAATTGTATTTTATATTGTTATATATTAATATCTACTTCACCATTTCACAGGTTAAAATAAAGGAAAAAATTAAACACTGAAGTTCAGATAAATTCAGATTGTGCGTCTGCTTGCTTGGGTCATGATTTGGTGGTCTAGGAGTCAGGTAATGAGAAAGTCATTCCTCATGAGAGGACCTAAAGCCAATCACCTCTGTGGTAGTCAGATATGAGCAGCCAATCAGTTGAAAGGAAGGTTCCCTGAGGTGTGGCCTGCATACATTATTTAAGGATGTTTTGGCAAAGCTCTCTGGGCATATGCTTTAAATAGATCTTGCATCTGGCTCACCATCATCTGACCTCTGATTCTCTAGACTTGCACCAGTAGCCTGGCATTCTGCCTGATTCAGGGCCCATCCGTGTTGTCTGTGAACCAGCAATCTACCTTCTGACATGCCCACTTAGTTTGTCAACACCTTCGGCCAAGTGATGCACAAGCTTTCAACTTGTTATTTGACTAGTCAGCCTTTATAAGCTTGAGAGCTCTTTCTTAGAGAGAAATCTCTCCATATATTGACATCTTTAAGTTACATGGTATACCAATTGAAGTATTTCAGATAACAGATGTTGCCCTGAAGGTGCTCACCAAGTTGTGCCAAGAAATCTGGAGAACAACCACTTGGCCAACTGACTGGAAGAGTTCTATATTTGTTCCCATTCCAAAGAAAGGTGACCCAACTGAGTGTGGAAACTACAGAACAGTGTCATTGATTTCACATGCAAGCAAGATTCTACTGAAGATTATCCAAAAACGATTAGAACAGCACATCAGCCATTTCCTTGCTATTTTAGCGTTTGTGCATATTTTATCATTTTTTTCCAAGTACAGAGAAAAGGAGACCTGGTGGTACAGTGGTCAAAGTACTCAGCCACTAACAAAAAGGTTGGTGGTTTGAACTACTATGAGAAAATCAAGTAGTTTCCTTGGTGTTTTCGGCAAATTGGGATATATGGCTCTTGCGTTTGAGCTTCACTTTTCCAATTTCTGGCTTTCATAGAAGCTGGGCTAACATACTTCAAATTTTTTTTGCACCCTGAGTCTTGGTAAAAATTAGTGCCTAGGAATCCCTTCTGAATTAGACAATGCTTTAGAGAGACTCAAAGAAACAAACACAACGCTTTTGAGTAGATGTCAGCTCGCACTCACCTTCTGTCAGGTTTCCAAGGCTGGAAACCTTAATGGGAGGAGATGATGCACCTTTCTCCTTCAAAGCTGCTGCTGGACTTGAGCCACTGGAGATGCATACCCTCTTGGTTGAAGCACTGCGACAAGCTTTAGGCTATGCCACCAGACCAGTGGGATCAGTTGTTGTTAGAGGAATTTGCACTTTTTTTTTAAGATTCAGTCAGGAGAAAATAAACTCCAGGAATCAGATTGGGAGCTTTGTTTCAGATAAAGCAATGGTTATTTTAATTGATCTGTAACATGTTTGTAACCAACCTGCCACTTCCCTTGCTGTACAAAATGTTTTTACAGACTAAAATAGTACGTGGAAACCAAAATTCCTAAACTGGCCTGATCCAAGGGACATCTCTGTTAGGTACTGTTGAGTCAAATACAAAACCACCCTATGAACAACGTATCTGAACCTTGTCCCTCCTCAGTTCCTGACACTTGAGCACATGGCTAAAGCACCTTTTATTAATCCATCTGTGGTTGGTCTGTCTTTTGCTGCCCCTCCACGTCCCCAAACATGATGTCTCTCTCCAAGGAATAGCCCCTAGCAGTATGTCTTTGCCTGTTTCAAATCCACCAGCCAATCCACAAGAAAGGTCATTTCCACCAGTGAGATTTACAGGCTCAAAAACTCAATGGTGTCTGCTACAAGTGGATTCTTACTCTACAGCAATGACAGATTTCAATTATTTTTAAAATTGCTCTTTTGTTGATTTAGATCTTATAGACAAGTAGTCTTTGGGTATCATCCAGAATTTATTAACTTAAGTACTGTCCAAGAATTTCTTTAGCAGGGAAAACATTACAGCCTTATAAACTCTCTGGGAAGTTCTACTGTACTTACAGGGCTCTTGCCTGAATTGACTGATGGCAGTGTTTTTTTTGCAATCTTTGTTATGGGGGTGAAGGTGCCACATATTTAAAGGAAATAACTTTAAAAAAAATTTATGGTTCAAATCCACCAGATGCTCTGCTGGAGGAGGAGCAATCTTCCCCTGCACCAGTCACATCTGATGCGAAGGTACAAAAATAATAAAAAATTTTTAAAAATTGTATCCATTTCTTGGGATGAAGCTTCCCTGAAAACAAGGAACTCCAGGGTACATGGTAAAGTACATAGCTGCTAACAAAAAGGTTGGTGATTCAAATCCTCAAGTCCTTGAGGGAGGATGAGATCACCTGCTTCTGTGAAGATGATGGCCTTGAAAACCCTAAGGGAGATTCTTCTGTTCTGCAGGGTCTTTATGATTTCGAGTGTGAACAGAAGATGATGCCCTGCAAGTTACAAGGGAAAGGGCCTCTTGTTGTTACATTTATAATTACAGCTCCTACTAAGTTCTGAACAGGCAGTATTTTTATATTATTTTCACTGACCAGTCTAATTTTGTATGAGCAGTTGGGAAATAAGGACACATTGCAATGGGAAAATCTGCAGATAGGGACCTTTCCAAATTATTGAGTAGCAATGTGAGTTTGAGGACTAAGGTGCATCTAATTCAAGGCCATAATCTTTCATCTGAGACCTGGATAATGAATAAGGATGACAGGAAAATATTCACCTTTGAGCTGTGGTGTTGGACAAGAGCACTGAACATCCCATGGACGGCCAGAACAGTCTTGGAGAGGGTGCAGCCAGAGTGCTCTCTGAATGCAAGGATGATGAGGCTACCCCTCATATACTTTGGACATGTTACTAGGAGGTACTACTCCTTAAAAAGGTAAGTGATGTTGGGAAGGGTGGAAGGTTGGCAAAGGAGAGGTAGACCCTCAAACAGGTGGAATGACACAGTGAATGAGTGCTGCAATGGGCTCAGGTGTTGGGAAGTGTGAGGATGGCGCAAGACAGACTACACTCAGATCTTTTGTTCATAGGGTCGTACCTGACTCCACAGCACCTAACAACAAAAAAAGTTTAAGGTTTTGGTTTTATGCGAATTACTTTCAAAGCCAAAGCTCCTGGCCTTTCTGCCTCCTAGTCTAAAAGCAGTACTCAATCTGTTGAGCATCTTAACATGCACACTTCTAAGGAAGAGATCAGTGAGTGGCACTATCTGAAGGGCAAGAATCCCAGCACTCAATCATGTGCCCTCTCCCTTCCCAATTGTTCGGTGTGCTTAGTCACAACTCCATTAACTGATGCTGCATCATTCTTAAGATCTGGAAACGTTCAAACTAATTCTGTCAATTCATCTTTTTGAGGGTCATCTTCTATCTTTCCTGGTCTAATGTCTTTTTTCAAGTACTGGCCTCTCTTGACATGCCAAAGCCTCTAAGGCGAGGGATGAGGGTCCATTCAGAGTCACTTGCTGGCTCTTAACAGCTACCCTGGGTATCAACTTAGTGATGATCCTGTACAGCTCCATAAAGGTTTCCAAGGCTCTGAATCTTCACAGAAAGTTAGGAGCCGATTCTACACCACAAGGACATGACTCTAAATGGACTATCAACCTAAATGGGTTATCAATCATGTTACATGGACTCAACCACGATCCTATGAACAGATCTGAATCCTGCCTTATCTTGTGTTGTCATCATCTGACTTGAGCCCAGGATACCCCTCTTATTTTTTATAGCAAATTAGATACAATGGAGAAGAACATGGTCAATTATTAAAGTGTAATAAAGTACAAATGGCACGGGAAATGGAGTTGGTAACAGAAGAGGCAGAAAGGACTCCAAGGGTACAGGACAGGTTTTTGACAATAACTCATCTTAAAATTCATTAACACAAGTCTGTTTTCATCTCAAAATATGGCCAATTCCTTCTTTAACCTGTTAAATGTTTTACCTTTGCCACTTCCTGAATACATGTGTTAACCTAACTCAAAGGTAGTTAGTTCTCTGCTAGCTTGAATTCACCTGTGGCTCCTTGGAAGAGAGGTAATCTCTTCCCAAGTAACTAACAGCCTTGGAAATTTGCTGGAGAGTTAGCAATAAATTGGTTCTAAGGGCCAAATAAGGTGGCTCAATAATGAACACAGAGCAGATTATTCGAGAGGCCGGGCTCTATTAGAAGCGTGGCCTTAGGATTGATGAAAAATCTATCAACAATTTGCGTTATGCAGATGACACAACCCTGCTCCCTGAAACTGAGGACCACCTCATGCATTTGCTGCAGAGGGTCAAGGACTGCAGGCTTCAGTATGGACTGAGGCTCAA